CTCGTCCTCCATCCACCGGGAATTGTTTGCAGTTCTTCAAACCTTTATCTTCCACCTTAATAATCACGAGGACCTCTTACTATCCACATCAATAGACTACACTTTGACAACCAGACCCCCTCCTTTCTTCTTGCCAACATGCGCTCCTCTGATCCACTATTTAATCCCTGGCTTCGAAATATCGCCTCAATACTCATCACCTACAACACTCTTCTCAACCCTATCCAGATTCCGCGTGAACTCAACCAATACGTGGATCACGTCTCCAAAAGAGAAGATAATTCTGATTAGAGCATCTCCTCACATGTCCTCAAGACTATTTTCAACATATTGGATGTTTCGACCATTGACCTCTTCGTTTCCGACTACCATCACGTCTGCGCATCATTCATATTTAGAACTTGGTTAAATCTTGCACTCAATATAGAAACTCTCTCTCTGGATTAAAACTCAGTATGAGGAGAACCTTACAGATGTATCTTTCCTCCCGCATCCCTTATAAATGCAATTATGTCCCGTGCAATACTCTCCTCTCTCTTTTACCTCCTCATAGCACCTGACTGCCCAAAACCAACCTGGTTCCCAAAACTTCTGCAGTTAGAAATACTTTGGTCTTTCAAAATTTCCTCATCTCCTCCCTCTTGCATACCTCGTCCGAGAGTGTATCCTTCCTGTTCCAACCGAGCCATTTTTTGTCTGAAAGCCTTCCTATTTGAGATCTAACTCTCACTTCTCCTTTTTCGCCCTCGTTTTATCCCATACCCATACCGCATGAATATCCCCACACTTTTTTAAGTTCCCTTCCGCATTATCTCTCAAAAACTCCACCCCTCCTCAATACCAGCTTGAACTCTGCCTATTCGAAAACTATGGTCTGTCTCCCCTTCATACACCCCTGCCTCCCCAAACCACTTTTCAATCCTTTTATTGAAACCACTCCCTCCCAACGGACCACCACCACGGCGTCCCCGGAACAAGTAACGGACTATGATATCTTGCCCTATCTGCCTGTGTGTCCGAAAATCGATTCAACGTGGGTTCCGCGTTGAACCCGCTTTGAATCCCTGTTGAAAAGCCCGTTAGACGGGTTGCAACGGGACCCGCAATGATTTTTTTCGTGGGTTAAAAATAATGAAAAAAAAAAACAAAAAATATACGGTTGTAGATCTTTTTGAGCTCTACAACCTCATATTTGTTTTTTTATTGTTTGAGCTTTTACTATTTTTGTTTTTTTGGTTACACAGAGACATTTTTAGGGCTAAAAAAAAAAAATCAGAAAACAAGCTAAAAATGTAGGGTTATAGTCTTATAGACATTTCAAAGATGAACAACAATATTTTTTTTATTTTTTTTCCTTCATGTATTTAAAAAAAAAAAAACATAAAAGCAAATAAAAAAGGAAAAACAGACACGCACGCACACACAGAGACACACAACACACACAAATACACATAAACACACACACATATGCACACATACACACACACACGCCAACAATCATGCGCACACACACACACACACACACACACACACACACACATACACACATACATACACACACTTACAAACACATATACACAAACATACACGCATACATACATATTCATGCACAGACACACTCTCACACGTAAACACACACATACACACATGTGCGCACACATAGCACACCGGGGGCGAGGTCCCACTAGCGACGGGATATGATAGAAACGAGTCTGTGGGGCAGTTGAGTGACCCAAATCCTGTCGGGCAGTACTCGTGATCCCACGGTCATTATTTTACTTGTATTACCCGAAAAAGTAAGGAGATCTTCGTTCCCCTCCTCCTCTCCTTAACACTGGGTATGCCCGTGCAAAGAAAGCCTCTCTCTCTCCGCGTAGGTGTAGGCACTATCGCGCCTTATTCCTTAACGTATCTGGCCTGCTGCCCCGACCAGGTTCTCCCTGTTAAACATATCGGCGGATACACTGTCGAATTCAAATTTTCCCTCTAGTAGGTGCAGTCCCTTCTCTCTTTCTCCTTTACTTCTACTAACTGCCTAACGGATTCGACCCCGGATTCGAAGCCGGCCGTGCTCAAAATCCCCAAAACACACCCTCAACTTTCTGAGTTTGTCAGGAATCACGTGAGCCTCTTGTGCCGCCAACTTCCATCACTCATATGCTCGTTCCACCATTCCCTGCAAGACGACATTGTCACTTGCGGGACGTTGGGGGAGATGGGGTGGCCCAGGAGGTGTGTGGGCCTGCGGCCCCCAACTCGAGGACTCTCCTATTCAATCTGGCATCATCTATGCTATGCAGTTTCTCCTTTTTATTTGGACAAGACCTGTGCAGCAATTGTCCTGCAACTACACGTGGTTGTCTTTCTAACTTCCCAGTCACCATCAGGGTACACTAACAGTTACAGGTCCATTTAGTTGGGATTCTCGCTCCTCTCGGTCGCACGACTTCTTGGCAGCCCTGGATCTCGAATATCTACAACGTGCATTTGGACACCCTCGACAGGCTACGGTCTCAGCGGTTGAACTCCTCAAGTTGCAAGCTATTTTGGTCAAGGTACTAGTGGGACCACGGACTCAGCAGTTGGACTCCAGAAGTTGCAGGATATTTGGTTAAGATTAGAATGGGACCAGGGACCTCGGAACTCACCCGGGGTGCATTTGGACGTCGCCGGCCCGGACGGCACTGCTCCCACTGCCCGCGACGGTATACGTGACTGGCAGTGCAGCAGTAGACACATGTTGCTGTGCTGGACTTGTTGGATCTGCTGGATTTCCTGCGATCCTCCTTCCGCTGTGCGCCCTCCAGCAGCGCTGAGCGCATAAGCAAATCTGCAGGCAGACAGGTCATTTCATCAGCCGGTCTGAGGAGATAAATTTTCCCCTTCGCCAATTTTGGCGAAGCGGTCGCACCCGCCCTCGATTTTTCTTGCGGTGTGTGGGCCTGCGGCCCCCAACTCCAGGACTCTCCTATTCAATCTGGCATCATCTATGGTATGGCATCATCTATGGTATGCAATTTATCCTCTTTATTTGGACAAGACCTGTGCAACAAATAGACTGGAGCCTTGGATTGAAAAAAAAAAAGAAAAAAAGCCATCAATCAATCAAATGGAATGATCATTCTTGGCCCAGCTATAGACCGCAATGGCTGGAAGCTCCTGCCAAAAAGATATCTTCAGCAAAAAATAAATAAATTGCCGCACAGGGGCATTCCAGGCTGGGCATAGATAGCTGGGCCAAGTACTGGTGGTTTAAGTCCAATCTGGACGTAACTGCGGTCACGTGCATCCATGCCAGGTGGGATACATCCAACAAAGTCCACGTGTGACTATGGCCTGTGAGAAGTCTTACCGTGAAAAGACGCTGAACCTTTCCGCAGAAAGAACAGGAGTCGCCCATCGGTGTGACCCTTCGTCCCCCAAACACAAGGCACGCCCATCATGCCTATGCCGGACCGGAAAGACACCTTGTATACTTTCACGATCAGGGTGAATTGTGTGTTCGTTTGGCAGATGACGGTAGCCCTCGACTGAATGGACGTGTGGGTGTGAAACTGTAGGCCTCGCCACGAATGTGAAAAAGACAAAAGTGTGGCGGGCGCATCTGACCATGTTCTAGGGGGAAGTTCATTCTCATTTTGCACATTTCGAGAGTGGCTTGGCGATGCGGTGTGTCCTTCTGCCTTATCTCCCGGCTTTCCTCTGGGCCGCTATGCTCCCTAATGACGGTCGGCCTCGCTACACGAAACGAAACGAATGCCTCAGCTTATGAAAGGTGGCAAAATGCAGTCGTTAGTATTTATAGTAGAATGATGAACCTGTCTATTTTGTTTGGGGAAAATGCTATGGTCGTTTCATTATTCGTTTCGTATGCCGTGCGGGACGCCTGGTGTGTACTCAACGGCAAAGATTGCCACTGGAGTATGCTCTCGTACGATCTCGTCATTCCCAGAACACACAAGTATTAGTAAGAGATGAAACGTTGGGGTCCCTTGACGGAATTATTTGCGAAAAGTCAAAAGACGTTGAAAATTCGAGTTGGAATTGAAACCCGGTGGTTTCTACCCAAGTAAATGTCGCCGCTAGCCAGAATGGGCGAGGCGGCGAGCGCCTGCCGCTGCTCAGCCAGGGGGCGCCACGGGTTAGATGTGGACCGACGGGTTCAAGCTTGGGTTTAGGGCATATTCACAGTAAGACTTCTTAAACTCATCTCTGGACGTAATTACGGTCAGGTGCATGCAGGCTTGGCCTTCAAAGTGATCATATAAAATTTCGAAAGTGGTAGAGTGACGCCGAGGGTCAATGAATAGAGTCGAAGTAGCTGCGTGCTCCACTCTGACCCCTCCGTGGTGAACGTAAAACACTGCAGATTTGATGGTAGTCTCGTCACAGCACCCGCCATGCTAAACCCTCATCCAGCCATGCTATCGTCCTCACCCGAATAAAATGCCGGGCCTTTATAGCCGTATGTAGACTGGAAGTCTACCAAAATTCACTACAATGACCGGTCGTTCTATTCGCGTGAAGACGGTAGGCTCTGCCTCTGCCGACTCATTAACCGCAGAGTTAAAGGCAGGGTTACATTCACAGTCGCAATCAGTCGAGGACGTAACAGAGTGGATGTGGATATAACCACACGAGTCACAGCAGTACTTTCTAGTCACAGCGGCACTTCTGTGAATGCATTTGACTGTAATTGTGGCCGGATTCACTCAATAAGTACTCGAAGCAGGAACGTGCTTGGCATGATCTCGGTGAGATGCGTTAAGGGAAGTCCGAGTGCCATTTTGCCTTCACTAAGAGGGCGCATCTCATCATCACTTTCGCTTTTCACCTGCGTTCCCTCCAATCATGGGGGTAGACTGACATAAAAGCACGGTACGCCACGATTATCGCAGTTCTATCCACGCATCTCGCATTTCGTGCGTGAGGGCATCCCGAGTCGCACACACCTTTGCGCAGTAATGCCTTCGCAGTTACTGCGACTCTGTTAATTGTCGATTGAAGAGCTCATTACTACCGTGCTGTCCGTGCATACAAAGAGGTCTAGAGCTCATTACAAACTACGTCTTCTATACAGCTCGATAAACCTTGGGTTGCACGTCGACATAGGCAGTGAGGCGTCCTCCTCAGCGGTTAACTTAGCCACTCTAGTCTCTAGACGGCTGTGCGTATCCTACAGGATGATGCAACTAAGGCGGAGTACTGACCACTCGACCTGCATGATGGCGACATTGCTGACATCTGCAATAATTTTGCACTATGCGCATCTGCTGCCACCCTTGTTTGTCGTATTACCGTGTGCATGCGCGCAGTCCGAGACATCGTCAACAGTGAGTAGCGATGGAGGTTCCACCACGGTGACCGTCTCAGGGGTGGGTTCTGCAGAAGGCGGCTCATCTTCTTCGTCCGCCACTGCAGGCCAGGCGTCAAGCGGTGGAGATACTGGCAGTGCCAGTGGTGGTGCTGGTGGCAGTGATGGGGCCGGTACTACGGCTGCGGGAAGCTCGGTCGGGACGTCAGCCACAACGGGAGATGGTGGCGCGAGCACCACCTCGACGACGACAGGAGCAGGGGCTGCAGCGACTCCTGGACAGTCCACGGGAGGGGCGGCAGGGTCGGACCTGTCATCAGGGTCTTCCTCTCAAGTAGGAGTAGGAGGAGAGAGTGGGGGGTTGCCAGCTTCTAGCGGCACAGCTGGAGTTTCTCTTCCTGGCTCGAACGAAGGGTCAATCGGCGAAGGTCAGGCCTCAGCTGATCAACCTAGCACGTTCACGGCAGTCGGGGCCGCAAGTGACAGAGGAGCAGGGGCATCACCTCAGACTACAACCAGTACTGCCGCAGGTGAGCAGCCTCAGACGGGGGCTACCATCGACTCCACTGTTACATCTTCGAATCCAGTTCCGTCAACGACTACGACAACGTCAGCCGTGAATGCTGGTACACAGCAGGCCGAGAAGGGGGCAGTGAAAGCGGACGGTGCACGACCGTCCTCAACAGCTGGTGTCGTASCAACCACCGAGAGCGTGGAGAAGAACGCCGCGACTGCTCGCCAGCCCACGACGCCTGCGCTGAAGAATCCCGCTGCTGAGCAACCTGACATGGCCGAGAATCTAGAAGACGCGGCAGGAACCACTACGGGTAGACCGAAGCCAACTTCTCCTACTCAGCCTGAACTGAAGGATGAAGTAGAGAAAACTGCCGCTCCTGCACTCCCTTCCGCTCATTCCGCGATGCCCTCTCGTCCAGCCAATGCACCGAAGAGTGTCGTCCCACCGACGGTTCCTACTAGCAGCAGCATGCGGGCAAGGGGTGTTCCACCGACGTCATCGCCAGCAACTCGACCAGCACAAATTGCGGCAGCGGAAAGAGCACAGTCGGATACCGGGGCCCAGACTTCAGATAACCCGTCGTCGTCCGGCTCCACCAGCGGAAGAAGCCCTTCCAATCATGTCAAACTCCTATCCTTCGTCATTATCTTGTTGTGGCCGAGTTTCGTTGTCGTGGCCGCCCGCATATAAGATAGAAATCAGAGTGAAGCGGGGTCGTCACTCGTACGTGTCTCATAGCAATAATGGAGCGTTCGTTTACGTCTGGGACAGACATGGAAGGGTTGATTGTGGAGCGGAGTAATCAGGCGTACTCTCTCACGAAGAGGGAATAGAAGGAGGTCCGCCAAAGCCTCGAACAGACATAGACAAATATGGTGACCCACAACAGTGAGACCCGAAAAGAATGGTTTGTGAAAGGTAGAAAATAAAAAATAAATGGTTGACAAACATTCAAGTTGATTAAACTATTGAGATTTCTATGATGTAGGATATGTCGTGAAGATTAATGCTAGTTAAGTAGCGTAAGAATCATGTGTGTAATACCTTTCTCGGCCTTTTTGCTAAGATCAAGTGTAGTATCTGTTCTGATCAGCTTAATATCTGATCCTTAAAAAAAAAAAAAGAAAAAAAAAGAAGAACTCATGTGTAACGCCGTTTTCCCCATGTCAACACATGATTTGGGTGGTGGTAATTTGTCAGACTCTATGAGGAAGTCTTCTGGCCGTTAGGCAGAAAAAGTAAGTCTGTCCTTGGTAAGCATTGATGAAGAGTCCGGGAGATTACTTATTCTTTTGAATAGTCGGAATCTCTCTCTCTCTCTCTCTCTCTCTCTCTCTCTCTCTCTCTCTCTCACACACACACACACACACAAAAAAATAAATAAATAAAAAAATAAATAAATAAAATAAAATAAAATAAAATAAAATAAAATAAAATCAGTTTTGTGTCTGCCAGTCGTTCTCCGTTGTCTGTACACCCTCTGAATGTTTCCAAGTATTTCTGTGTGCCCAAACTGAACACCCTTAAGTACTGCCAAACAGTCTGTGATTCCTCGTTTTGAGTGTCGACTGCACTCTTAAGGGAGGGCGCTCGGTTCGGGATGTCTGCGTTGACCGTGGGTGATGATGGATGGTGTGGCCGTGTTGTTGTTGGTAACTTGGTGTTGCCTTGCGCTTCACTGCTCCCCGGCCTTGCCGTTCATCCATTGTCTGTGCGTTCCATGTTTGCCTTGTGTCCCTTGTAGGTTGCTTGCGTTGTTGCTGGTGCCTTGTGCGTCGCTGCATTGTTGAGGAGCTGCTGGTCTGCCTGCCTGTCACCCCTTGTAGTGTGGTTGCCTTGCTTGTGTTGCCTTGTGCTTCACTACACGGTGGCCACACTCTTAGCGCTACACCCTGCGTGCAATGTCTTTCCTTGCCATTGTTTTTGGCAGTGTGCAGCCGTGTTGTTTATTGTGTTGGCTGGCGCTCCATAGGGTTGCTGTCCGCTGCTATCTTCCACTTGGTGACAGGCTGCCTTCAACAAGGGTCAAAGGGTTCATGATCCAAACCATCAAATTCGGAGCTCCCCCGTATTGTGGAGGGTTCGGCCTCCTGATCTGTTTTACTCCAATGAAACAATATATCATCAGTTTTGGCTTTCCTTTTTTTTAACTTGTTCTTTGGTCCCCCTTGTCGTCTTGGTTGCAGTTGGTGCCTTGCTGGTAAGTTGCTGCTTCTTGACTTTCCATTCGTTGTTTTCTTGTTTGGTGTTGTTTGCCTACCCACCTGCCTCCCCTGTGCCCTCCAGCCTACGTTTCGAGCTACTGCTATAGAGTGCCCTAGTGCTCCTCCTTGACTTGTTTTTGCTTAGTGCTGTTTGTCTGCCCGCTTGCCTCCCCCATGCCATCCAACCTATGACTTTTGCTTTGCTGACTTTCATGCCTTGCTGCCTTGTGTGTCTTTTGCCTGCCTGCCCGCCCACCTCCCCCATGCCCCCCAATTTTTGTCTCTTGCTGCCCGCTGCTCGTTTGTTGTCGTGTTGCTTTCCACCCTTTGCTGTACTATTTTGGTGCTTATTTGGTTGGCCTTCGCATGACTTTTTTGTGCATTCCTGTCACGGACATAGAGGGTTGCGGGTGTTTTTAATGTGTTGCTTACCACCATCCCCTTCGGCATAACATGCCGCGGCAGTGTCGTGGAGGTTTGACATGTGTAAACGCACGCGCACACACATTCTCTCGCCCCCGTCC